GGGGTGCCCGTGGCTGTGGAGGGGTGGCTGTGGAGGGGTGCCCGTGGCTGTGGAGGGGGTGCTGGATGCATACTGAGTCCTGTCCCTGCGCTGGGCTCTCTGGCCAGGCCAGCAGCTGTCCTCCCACCCAGTGAACATGTGGGGCCCAGGAGCTGCGCAGGGGACGGAGCGGAGCCCCTGCCCCTCGAGACCAAAACGGGGCCTGGCAGCCGGGCTCCCAAGGCAGCTTTGCCACCAGCGCTGTGTGACCAGCTTCCCCTCCAAGGGCCTGGTCCCTGGTGGGGTCTGCGAGAGCCGGCCACTGTCACGGGAGAGGCTGGGGATGAGGCAGCAGCAGCCGGCCGTGGGCAGCACCTGCGCACACGAGGCCAAGCGCCCTGAGGAGGACCCGAGCCGCTTTGCAGGGCGGGGCCTGAAGCCAGGAGCCCCGCCGGGGGGCCGGGGACCTGTCCTGAGCTGGCCACACACAGCACCAGGCTCCTCCCTCCCGTCCTGGTGGGCGAGGGGCATCCAGGAAAATGGGCAGGACATGACCGAGGAGGCTGCCCCGGTCGGGGCGGTCCTGGGGCCAGTGGGCGCCGGTGCCCAGCCGGGACGGACCGGGAGGGAGTGTCAGGTGTCACGGCGCTGGCAGGGGCCTGGCTGTGCCCTTCCTGTTGGCTCTTTCCACACCAGCCCTCCCCGTGCCCTGAGCTGTCCTGGCCCTGTCCACAATGGCACCTGCCCCAAAATAGCTCCCATGTGAGGCAGGAGAAGGCAGAGATTAGACCCCGCGGAGGGGAGGGGGCAGGAGGGGCAGCAGGGGGTATAAAAGCCCATCGGGCCGGCAGCCCCCACCCGAGCCAGGCCACAGCACCCAGGGCCACAGCACCCAGGGCCACAGCACCCAGGGCCGCAGCACCTGCTCTTTCTGTCCTCAGTGCCATGGGGCTCAGCGACGCGGAATGGCAGCTGGTGCTGAACATCTGGGGGAAGGTGGAGACCGACCTCGCCGGCCACGGGCAGCAAGTCCTCATCAGGTAACCGGGAGGGACCCCGCCCCGCCGCCCCCCAGGAGCTCAGACCTGGCTGAAGGTGAAGGCGGCCCTGGGTAGACCAGTTGGCTGCGGAGACGAGGCGGTTTTCTCTGCCTCAAGAGTCGGGGACCC